CCGTGCAGAGAAATCTTGATGGTTTCTGTGGCTTCACTTGTCAGTGTGTCCTTATACTCAGTGGAAGCTTTGGGCTCAGTTTGTTCTCTGCTTCTCTGGGATTTTCTAGGCAAATGATCACATTGTCTTCAAATACGGTTATTTGTGCTGGCTCTTTGCCAGGGATTGTGCCTTGAGTGGCCTTTTCTTGGCTTCCTGCTCCGTCAGGTAACAGTGGACGGAGGGTGTCCCCCATTGTACAAAGAGTGATCCCGTTCTGGGCTTCAGGCTTGCTCTCACAGATGAATAGAGAAATCCCTGTACACTTACTTTGGGTAAAAGCTCAATTAGGCATGGGGAGGGTGGTTTTTCAAGGTAGTATGCGGCATATTGAATACATGTCCCTAAGTTTGGCCCTGGGCAGCTCAGCTCTATCTGTGCCGTCCTGGAAAAATCAACTCAGATGTTTTCTTTGGGAAACCTCTTGTGATGCCCCTGCCCCATGCCCTGTGGCCCATGCCAGACAAACATTAGTCATTTGTACCTGGTCCTAGCCTTTCTTAGCAGAGCTTTGGCTTCACAGGCAAGCACTGGGCTTTTCTTGTTATGTCGGATCAGATTAAGAGCCAGAAGAGAACCTCCCCAGAGGCCTTGAGTCCCAGGGAGGGGATGGGAAGTAACTGAGGCAGGATTTGAACGCAGCTCCTCTGCCCGTAAACGCCGTTGGGGCCGTGTCTTGGCAGTGTTTCTCTTTGGATCTCACAGCACTGAACCCCATGCAGGATTCGTGGTGGTCGGGTTGTGCTGAATTTGATTCTTCCTCCGTGGAGACGGTTGAACAAAGGCCTGATAACCGCAAATGGTCATTCAGCGAGTTCAGTGGGGAGCGGTGAATGGAGCCGGTGACCTCTGGTCTTCCAGCCTGACCAGGTCCGGCCGGATGTGGCCTCGGCCAGATTTGTAAGAAGGCTCCGGGTGGTCACTGGAGGCCGTCCCTAGAACCCTGGTCCTACCACTCTCTGGCGTGGTCAGATGTGGAGTTTCCCGTGTGCTAGGCACTGTGCTAAGTGCTGGGGACACAGAGGCCAAGAAACACCATCCCCGGCCTCCAGTGGCAGGCGTTCAAACGGGGAAGCAACATGTAAAGAACTAGGCACTTCTTGGACCGACGCAGAGGAGAGGAAGGGATTGTGGCCTTGGACGCCTCCTCCTTTCAGTGTTTCCTCTTCAGTGAGGTGAGTGGACGGAGCCTCCTGTGCGGAACCTGATTCTGATCAGAAGAGAGGCTTGAGGAAGGCTGCCGTTCTCCAGAGTGGGATCAACTGGGCTAGGTCAGGACGGGGTGCGAGAGGCAGTGGTCACTGGGAGAAGCCGAGGCTTGATTTGCTCTGCCCCTCCAGTCCCCAGGGACAGTGTTGTTTATCACCAAGTCCCTGCCCTGTGCCCACCATGCATGCTCGCATCATTCTACTTCAGGTCTTTGTCACCTGTCCCCTAGACCATTGGCCGAGCCTCCTTACTCGGGCTCTGGCCTCCACTCTCTTCTCTCTGGCTCATCTTTCCCACAGATGCCCAGGACCGACGAGCCCTGGCCTCCCCTGCTCACAGACCTCTGTGAGTTCCCTGGTCCCAATGGGAATAGACGCACTTTGGGCCGTCCCCAGACTGGCCACAGCTTCTACTTCCAGGCCTCTTTCCCTTCCTTCCCCTTCATGCTGTGCTCCTGCCAAGCTGGGCTGCTCGCTGACCCCTGAACTTCACTACCTGGGAGGCTTACTTCTGTGCGTCCCCCAAAGCCGCCCTGCCCTGCCCCCAGGGTGCTCCCAGAACCCCCCTCTCTTTCAGACTCTCCCTCGCCCTCCACGTCCACTCACTTGCCAGAGCTCGTCAGTTCTGCTTCTCCGGCCTCCTGGAATCTGTCCCCTTCTTTCCCCTGCCACGGTCCCCTCCTTGTTCTCTCCCTGACCACCGTCCCTGGGTTCTTGGAGCAGACTCCCAGCTGCTTTCCTGGATCCCACGGGCTCCTTTCTCCAGTCTGTTTTCCACCCACTTGTAGAAATAGTCTTCCTGAAGCACAGGCCTGACTATGTCACTCTCCTGCTCCGTACCCTCCTCTGGCTCCCCGTTGCCCTCGGAACAAACAGCAGCTCCTCACCCTGGCATTGAGAGCCCTGGGCAGTGTCCTGCAGTCTCCCTTTCCAGACTGATGGACTATCTCTCCCCTCCTGCAGCCTGTACCCCGGTTCTGGCCATATGTACAGTTGGATATACAATGCACTCCTGCCGCTCTCCGCCTCTTGGGTCCTCGTGCTTCAGCTCAGGTGCCCCCCCCCACCCCCAGGAAGGAGGAGGCCCTTTCTGGCCCCCGGGTGGCTGCTGATGCTCCCTCCTCCCTGACGCCCTGGGCGTTCCGTGCCTGCTCACATGTCGCGGCCACTTCCCCCTTATTTATCTAATGGAAGGAAGCTCACTGAAGGCAGCCTTACTGCCTTTCAGCCTGTAAAGGCAGTTTGGCACAGTGGGCAGAGCCAGGAACACTGTGGCTGGAGTGCTGCCTCAGCCCAGGCAGGTCACTGCCGCTCCCCGAGCCAAGGACGTCTCAGGTGTCCGGGTCCCCACCCCCAGAACCCATCCCCACGCCTTGGGAGGGGCAGATGGCAGCCGAACTGAACTGCTCAGGTCGTCCCATTGGGTTTTGTCTGGATTTCTCCTTTGCTCCCCCGCTGCTGGCCTGCCCACACTGTGCCTCCACTCTAGAGCGTAGCTCCCTCAGGGCAGACACGGGGCCCATTTCACAGGGCCTGGCATGTGTAGGAGGCTCTCACTCTGGATTCATGGGATTGAATTGATCCTGGACTGTTTGCTGTTCCCCAAGATCGTTCTTCAGGACACTCATTCCCCTCCCCCCCCCACCACACGCTCTGTTAACATCAGGGAGCTGCTCATTTGTCATCTTCTTGGGGCAGCTTGCCCTACCTCCCCCGAGAAGGGACTCTCTTCCCTCCTTCACTTTGTCTCCATCTCTCCTCCAGTCTGAATGGTCAAACCACACTGTCTCATGTTTATTCAGGATTTGAGGTTTTTAAGTACGTTCTTTGAGGGTGGTAGTACAAATATTATTGTACCCATTTTACAGATAAGAAGATGGGCTCAGTGAGGGCCAGGAGGCATCCGAGCTGACTGGTGGGATCCCAGGTGTCAGGCTGGTGCTCATTGCACCAGGCTTGGTGTTTGGCGCCGAGACGACATCAGCTGGGATTTGTATAGCATTTTTTAGGGTTTGCAAAGTGCTGCACATCTGGTATCTCACTGGATTTTATTGACTGTGCCAAGACTTTTTTTTTTTTACTTTTTGGTGAGATAATTGGAGTTAAGTGACTTGCCCAGGGTCACACAGCTAGTAAGTGTCAAGTGCCTGGTCTAAAGCCAGATTTGAACTCAGGTCCTCCTGACTCCAGGGCCGGTGCTCTATCTACTATCTACCTATCTCTACTACCTCTACTATCCACTGTCTCTATCTACCTAGTCGCCCCTGTGTGCCGAGACTTTTTAGGATAATACTCAGGCCTGGGATAGTATCTAGTCCTTTACTTTTAGGAGATTTAGCATTTAGAACTAGAAGCAACCTGTCAGTGCTTCTTCAACTGTGTGTGGGTCGTGACCCCGAGTTTAAGAAGTGCTCCAGGGGTCACAGGTGGAAAGTCTAAGAAGCCCTGTAGATCATCTGGTTCTACCATCTTTGTTCTATAGATGAGGAAATTAAGGAGAAGAAATCTGCAGGAAATTAAACTCGGGTCTTCTTACTGTGCATCCCAGTGCTCCATCTACTGGGTCCTGCTTATAGTTTGTGTCCAGTTGAATAGAGGCTATTCCTTGTCAGTGATTCAGTGCATCCACGTACACAGAGTGCTAGGAGATCAGACGAGGAAGGGAGCCCTGCCAGCGGGGCCTCGGGAGCTTTGCGGAGGCTCCTCTCAGCTCCTGCCTGAGCCTTCCCTGCTCAGGACCCTTCACCAACCAGCTCAGCCCAACCCACCCACATAGTAATAGGGCGAATTTGTCAAAATGGCAGCAACGCCCTTTCTAGAGAAAGGAAATGTGATGTTGCCTTCCAGGCGGCGGTGGAAATGCCATCTGTGCCTCCTTGAAAGGGGCTGATGCTTTGTCTGAGTGAAGCTGCCAGGGAGCTCAGCCCGCACGGGGAACTGCACGGGGGACTTCCCGCCCCACTCCTGGTCATGGAAGAAGAGCTGTCTTACCCCCTGCCCTCTGCTGTCCTGCACAGAATCTGACATATACGTTCCTGTTAAACATATTTTCACATTAGTCGTGTTGTAAAAAAGAATTAGAACCAGTAGAGGAACCACAAGAAAGAGAAAACAAAACAACAGGAAAAAAGAGCAAATAGTCGGCTTCAATCTGCATTCAGACTCCATGGTTCTTTCTCTAGATGTGAACAGCACTTTCCATCATGAGGCCTTTGGAGATGTCTGAGATCCTTGCATTGCTGAGAAGGGCTAAGTCTATCAAAGTTAGTCATCGCACAACGTGGCTGTTACTGTGTACAACGTTGTCCTGGTTCTGCTCACTTCACTTAGCATCGGTCCGTACAAGTTTTTCCAGGTTTTTCTGAAGTCTGCCTGTTCATCATTTCTTATAGCACAATAGTATTCCATCACATTCATGTACCACAACTTGTTCAGCCATTCCCCAGTGGATGGGCATCCCCTCAATTTCTAGTTCTTTGCCACCACAGAAAGAGCTGCTCTGAATATTTTTGTGCATGTGGGTCCTTTTTCCATCTGTATGATCTCTTTGGGATACAGCCCTAGAAGTGCTGTTGCTGGGTCAAAGGGTATGCACAGTTTTATAGACCTTTGGGCATAGTTCCAAATTGATCTCCAAAATGGTTGGATCAGTTCACAACTCCACCAGCAATGCATCAATGTTCCAGTCATTTTCCTGCTTTGTCATGTTGGCCAGTCTGATAGATGGTGACACAGATCTTGCCTTCTTTTTAGGTTGGAAACTATAAAAGAACAGTCAAGAGGATTGATGACGGCCACCGGCTGTGCAATGACCTCATGAACTGTGTCCACGAGCGGGCACGCATTGAGAAGGCCTACGCGCAGCAGCTCACGGAGTGGGCCAAGCGATGGAAGCAGCTTGTGGAAAAGGGTAAGAGCACTCTTTCCCTGATGCCTGGGCCGTGGCTGGAGCGAGGGAGCTGGGCTCGTCTGGTCCCTGCTCACATGCCGCCGAGGGGCTGCCCGGGCCTTTGTCAGCTCTCGTCTCCTTGGACTCTCTCCAGAGCCAGGCAGGCCGCGAAGTCAGGGGGCTCCCCACCCCGACTCTGCCTCTCACTGGCCAGACTCAAGTCCCTTCGCTTTCCTCATCTGTAAAATGAGCAGCTGGATTAGATTCTTTTTTAAAATGTCTTTTAACGAATCTCTCGTGTTTTTACATCCCAAGAGAGCTCTTCCCCTCCCTCCTCAGAGGAGAGGGGAAAGAGGAAAAGCGATTGTGTAAATAAGCACCTTCCAGAGTGAGCCTGGCACAGGCCTCTCGTCCCTTCCCCAAATCAGCTTGCTGCCTGAGGGTTGTGGTCCTTCACAGTACTGGAAAGGCAGCCAGAGGCAGGGCTTGGGAGGAAAGAGAGTGGGATCCAGAGATTCGGACATGTTGAGTTTACTATTTCTGTGCTTCGGGGGTCTAGAAAGCAATTAGAGATGGAGACCAGAAGAGATCTCGGGCTGGCAAAATAGAACTGAGAGTCGTGGGAACCATGGGAAGGGATGAGATCACTGAGGGGAATAGTCTGGAGTGAGAAGAGAAGAGGGCCCAGGACAGAATGAGGGGGCCATGCCGTTACTAGCGCCCACGGGGTCTGGCTGCAGGGCCAGCAGAGGAGACAGAGTGGGAGCAGGCAGAGAGGGGAGAAGAGCCGGGCGGGGCGCTGGGAGAGAGGTGGATTGATCCGCTCTCCTGTCTGGGTTTTTGGGAAATCAAAGAGGAGAGACCGATCCCCAGTGTCCAAGGCTGCAGAGAAGGCCAAGAGGACAAGGATGGATTTGGCAGCTAAGAGACCATTGGTGACTGGAGGGAGCAGTGTGTGATGCGGGGGCAAGCTAGCCTGTGGAGGCAGGAAGAGGACGTGGCCTTTTGGTCACTTCCCGCCACAGAGCATTGTATTGGACCCAGGAGCCATCCACTGGCTAGGAAATGACCGTGACTGCCATCGCCAATCTTGGAATCCATTTTGTTTGCAGCCATAAATGAGGCACTCTTCCGGTTCCCAAACTGGGTCAGGGCACATTCTCTTTCACTTCCTTAAGAGATTCCTCTTCTAGGAGCAAACAGAAAAAAGCCGCCAAGTGGTTCGAGGAGCATGGCCTGTAGCACCCTGTAGGTGGCCAGCTTTGGATTCAGGACAAAGCTGCCCCTAGGAACTGAGAGTCCGATTGCCTAGAGGAGCAAACCTGGGTAGCCTGAGGTCAGTGACCCGCAGAGCAGCGACTCTCAGCTCATAAAGGGGTGGCGTGAGCGCTGCAGGGTGAACAGATTGGAGGCACTTGAGAGACATCAGCTGACTGACTGACAAAATAAAAAGAAAAGACGAGAGTGAGAGCAAAGGACATGGAGGCGCGTACTGTAGACGGCCGTCTTCGGGATTCAGCCCCAAAAGGAGGGGAGAGAGATGGGACAGCAGCCGGTAGGGAGGCCGGAGGAAAGGAGCCAGTGGACCGGAAGTGACTGAAGATACATGAGAGAGGAGGAGGAGGAGAGGCAGCAGCATGCTGAAGAAAAGGGATGGATGGGAAGCTCCCCCGGGCCGGAGAAGGGCACCTCCCGGTGTGAGACGTGGCGCCACTGGGGCTCTGAGCTGGGATACAGGGAAGGAGGAGGGGCTCGCAGGCAGCGAGTGAAATCGAAGAGGCAGGACTCTCAGCTGAGGGGCATCCTGGGAAGTTTGAGGGAGGTTTGAAGAAGGCCGAGATGGTTCTGGAGAGCCGCCGTGGAGAGCGGAGAGAGTGAGGTACAGAAGGATTGCCCAGTGGCAGTGAGGGCCCAGGTGAGGTCGGGTCGCCATCTGCTAGTGGGCCAGCGTGGGTTTCCTGATTCTCTCCACCTTTGTTCAGCAGCGCCTGTGTAGGAGTGAAGACAGCAGGTGGTAGAAGTGATGCAAGGCTGAAGTTTTGCAGGACAAGATCTTTAATGCAGCCACGGAGCACTGCAGTACCCAGAGTCAGGAAGACCGAGCTCAGAGGCCACCCAGACACTTAGTAGCTGGTGGCCCTGGGCAAGTCACTTAACTTCCCTTTGCCTCAGTTTCCCCATCTGTAAAATAAGGATGATAGTACCTGCCTCCAAAGATTGTTGTGAGGATCTGATGACATAATAATTGTAAACCGCTTAGCACAGCGCCTGTTGGCTAATTACCGTCATGATGGAGGAAGGGGCGGGGACTAGATGGAAGACGGTGAATTGAGCTGGTTTGCCAGGGGATGAAGCTGAGGAAGGAAGGAGGGTGGCCAGTACAGGGAGTGATAGCCTGGGAGAGGACTGAGAGCTGGAAGGAAGGTTGGGAGGTCACGGTGAGGAAAGGTGGAATGCCAGATCGGGATCATCGGAGAAAGAAGCTTCAGAGCTCACAGGCGTGGATATGCCACGTTGGTGGGTGATGCCAAAGGCAGCGGGTTAGAATTCTGCCACTTGGGTCATCTGTAAAAACTGCGGCCCCTCCATTTGGGAACAGTTGCTAATTATTCCAAGCTGAAATGTGGCACCCTGTAACATCAACATTTTTCAGGCCAAGTAACTTTTTATTTTCTCCAAGTGGGGAAATGTGGCCTATTTTGCCTTCTCTCTCTCCGCCAGTCCTTTTAGAAGAGTGGCCAGTGGGAGGGGGTTTAAATTTGATTCCTTCTACCTCTCCAATTACACCCCCTCCCCCCCAAAAGCCTCAGCTCCTTTACAGTATATCTGTCTTACATTTTCACCTAGACTTCCCAAGTGGGAAGTGACCAATCAATGAGCAGCATTGGGGCCGGGGGTGGTGGGTAGATTTGTCATGAAAATGGAAGTCCAGCATCAGCCTCCATATCGGTGGTTGCCCAGGTCCTGCCACTCAGTCCCAAATGCGCTCCTCTGTTGTGTCTAGGTCCACAATACGGGACCGTCGAAAAGGCCTGGAATGCCGTCATGTCCGAAGCGGAGAAGGTGAGCGAGCTGCATCTCGAAGTGAAGGCCTCCCTGATGAATGAGGATTTTGAGAAGATCAAGAATTGGCAGAAGGAGGCATTTCATAAGCAGATGATGGGGGGATTCAAGGAGACCCGCGAGGCGGAGGATGGATTCAGGAAGGCCCAAAAGCCCTGGGCGAAGAAGCTCAAGGAGGTACCTGGCTAAGTATGGCACTGTCCTTTCTGCCTCGGGCAGGCGCTTCCTTGTGGGAGGGCTGGTTCTGGAGTGAGACGGTTCCCACTCTGGCCCATCTTCCTCTTTGCCGTGCTCATTAAAGCCATGGCGCAGGTCACTGGCAAGCTTGCTCTCGAGTAGGCCAGGAGCCCTGGGCTACATCTACTCCCTCTGCTGAGATGGTGCCACCTGGTTCTCTTGAGCAGGCTTTCCCTGTGCGTTTTGGGGCCTTCCTCCTCTTCAGACTCACCCATGGAGCCCGTCTTGCAGTGGGACATCCAGCTTTCCTCACTTCTCCTTCGGCTCTGGGCTGTGTGTCTTTCTCTCCCACCTCTTCCCTCATCTCAGATATTTTCCTGTGGAGGAAGGTCCTTTGGTTTGGGGTTGCCACGTACACGGCTGAAACATTCTTGCTTTTTTCCTTCTAGTCCACATCTTAAGTAGCCTCAGCCGGCAGCTCCTAAGTCCGAGAATATAACGCTGAGAAATGTTCCCTGTAGGTGGAGGCGTCCAAGAAGGCGTACCACGCCGCCTGCAAAGAGGAGAAGCTGGCCGTGTCCCGGGAGAGCAACAGCAAAGCAGACCCTGCGCTCAACCCAGAGCAGCTCAGGAAGCTCCAGGACAAAGTGGACAAGTGCAAGCAGGATGTGCTGAAGGTACATCCACAGGCGCAGGTAGCAGTCCCTCAGGCCACAGGCCCTTGTCAAATCTTTCTGTCTGGGTGCTTGGCGGTCATCAACACCCATCGCCATTTCCAGACAAAGGACCGAAAGAGAAGGTTGTACGAGAAGCTGTGAGTGTGTCTTGTACGGCCCGGGTCCTTCTCATGTGGCCTTCCTTCTCTTCTCTTCTGCATGTCTTCTTGCACTTTTCAGTCACACGCACGTGCGATGCGCATGCACACACACACATACAATCAACAAGCATTCATAAGGTCCTCTTTTGTGCTGGTAACTCTGTCAGGCACAGGGGATGGAGAAACCAAGGTGAACCAGTCCCTGGCCTCAAGGAGCTTACATTCTGTCAGGGGATGCAGCGTGGACACAGGAAAGCCTGGACAGCGTATGCACAGAGTCAGTCCAGAGTAGCTGGGAGTGGGGAGTAGATCAAGGAAGGCTGCCTGGAGGAGGCTTCATTTAAGCTGAGCTCAGATGGAAACCCGGGCTTCTGGGAGGCAGTTTGTGTCCCTGGGCCCTTCCCCCGGCTCTCCCCCTCATCTGTACACTGCTCCCCACCGCACTTTTTAGCTACCTCGGCTTGCTTCAAGTCCCACCTTCTGCCAGGTCCCCTCTCCCCCCCGACCCCTCCCCCACTTCACCCCGTTTCCTCCCAGATCTTCTCCCATCCATACCGCGTGTGTGTTGTACGTGCACGGTGGTTTACCTGTTGTCTCCCAGGTAGGTCTTTTTCCCTTTCTTTGTATTCCTGCTGCTTAGCGTAGTGCTTGACACATAGTAGGCACCTCACAAACGCTCATGCGCTGACTGTGCAAAGGCCTGGGGGCAGGAGGTGGGCGTCACGTCTAAGAACCCCCAGCAGGCCGGCAGGGTTGGCCCATAGAATGCATGAACGGGAGTCCCGTGCTCAGTGACCAGGGAGGTGCCCGGGGGCTGCTGGTGAAGGGGTTTTGATGTCACAAAGATGAGTTTGGTTTCTCCTGTAGGACAGGGTGCCCGACGGGGTGGGCCCTGTGCTTCAGAAATGCCACTGTGGGAGCTGTGTGGGGGATGGGCGTGGGGAGCCTGAGGAAGGGGAGGCTGCAGTGTCCAGTGCTGATGACAGGGACCTGGATTACGGTGAGGGGCGTGTAAGTAGAGAGGGTTCAGCGAAGACGGGGCCAGGATTGTGTGGCGTTCAGGAAAGTGAGCCTGGGAGGGAGGCGAGGAGTTGTATCGAGCTTGAGGTATCCAAAGGAAAGGCTGTTTGGGATGCTAGGAGGCAGGCGGCGACGTACGCAGGTGATGCTGCAGGTCAGCCGGGAGGCCGGGGTGAGCTGGACGGATCTGCGTCATCGGCGGGAGGTGCCAGGGGACCCTGCAGAAAGAGCCGAGCCTCAGGGCCCTCTCCATTAGGGAGGGGACGTGCCCTGGAGGAAGAGGCAGCAGGGGTGACTGGGAGGTAGCCGTCACACAGGAGAGAGGAGACCCAGATGGGGGGGGGGGGGGGGCCGGGGGGGGGGGGGGGGGGGAAAGGGGGCGGGGGGGGGAAGGGAGAGGGGGGCGGGGGGCGCGCATGCACACACACACACACACACACACACATGTGCGTGCACACATGCGCACACATGTGCACACGCACACGCACTCATACACCCATACGCATGCACACTCTCAGATGTGAGAATGGAAGGGAAAGGGCAGAAGGGAGAAAGGAGAAGTAGAGGGAGTGAGGTTGAGGGAGGAACTAAGGTCTGAGATTGGGGAATTGTGCTTCGCACGTCAGGGACCCTTACTCACTCTTGGCTGAATTTCATTTAATTGAAGTATTGGAGTCAGTGTCTGATCTCAAGACCTTCCACTGGACCTTCCGCGTCCTTCCCCCCTTGAGCCCCACGTGGCACCAGCCTGTGCTGTGCACGCTTGGGAGGGTCCCACGTCTGCCTTCATCCACGTAGAGAGCTCTCTCCACTGATATGTCTGGGAGCCTCTGGGCCACGAGCGTGTTTGGAGCCATCGGGAGCTGCCTCTGTACCCTCCCAAGGGGAGGACGGTATCGGGTAGCCTCCGGTGGCCTGGGAGGTCATGGCGCATTCTCTGACTGCCGCAGGCCGGGCCAGGCCTACTTCCTCATCCAGCCCTGATGTTTTATCAAGGGCTGCTTTTTACACAGAAGCCTTAGGGGGAGGATTATTTTAGACTGTTTACATCTCTTGGCTGCCCTTTCAGCAATCTGCAGTTTGAAGTCTTTGGAGATTGGGACAGTTTACAGTGTCAGCCCCGTGTCACCCCCAGAAGGCTGGGGGTGTGAAAAGTAGGGGACTCTGCTTCCGGGAGAGCCTCGAGGTCATTGACAAGGCGGCTGCATGAATTCCAGTGCAGGCTGACCCACCTTTGGTTCTGTCCGAGACCTGGGTGCCCGACCCCGCAGAGTCTGGAGAAGAAGCCGGATGTCTCTTGGGTGACATCTAGCTTTAGAGGGAAATGACAGTCCCATAGGAAGGCCCTGCCTTGTTCTGGGATGTCCTCCATGCACAGCAGCACCTGCAGCCCCTCCCCACCTAAAGGAAATGGCTTTTCCATGTGGATCCTCTGGCCAGTCTGCAGGTGACAGGAAATGCCCTTGGTGGCCTCCCTCTGTTACACCCCGCTCGATAGCGAGAGTCACATGGTCATCTGAGTTCTGTGTTGTCATCGTACCCGTTGAGGACTCTCGGATGTGCCTGACACACACCGGACGCCCCTTGTTGGAGGAGGGCCTTCGGGGCCCCATTTTACTCCACTGAATTGAATGCTTTTCAACCGGTGCCCGGTCAGCACAGAGGGATGTCGCGAGCCTGGCCTTTCGGTCTGTCAGCTGACTAAAGATGGCATCGTCCGCAGTCTGGCCGTGTCCCGTCTCATCCTCCCGTCCAGAATGTTCTCAGTGAGAGCGTGGATGACAGAGCCTCCATGGCTAGATCACTGGACCAGATCAGATGTGACGTCACCGAAGAAGTGTAAACTCTTATTTTGGGATTGGGGAAGGCTGGCCCGGGTACTCTGTCGTCTCATGGGCTTTAGGGGGGAGGTGATGGCCAAGAAAGCTGAGACCACCTTCCTCGAATCGGGAAGGGACGGTCCCCCTGTATTCAGCTCTGATTGGACCCCAGCTGCAGAATCGGGGTCAGTTCTGGGCGCAGAGTGTCCCAGGACGACAGCCAGGACGGTGAAGGGGCCCCGTGATGCTTGGTCAGCCTGGAGAAGAAAACCCCCCAGGGAGTTGGGTGGTTGAGGCCCCGGGGGCCGTCTGCAGATTCTGAGTGAGTGTGGTGGGAAGAACGCTGAGACCAAGAGCAGAACCAGGAACCTCACGTCCGGGGTGGGAGGCAGCAAGTTCAGCCTCGAGGTGAGCAAACAGTCGGGGGGCGGCGATGCACTTCCTCTGGTTGGAGGGCGTCGGAAGGAGCTGCGCACCCACCGGCGGGTTTGCCGGTCTTGTCTAGTGCTTGGGGAGCTCCCTTCCTGCTCTGAAAGTCTTGGATTCAGGACAGAAAGCAGGGGAGGCACGCAGCCTGCTCAGCGGTGTTTGCCCCCCTTATATGGCACGTTCTCTTGCACTCGTGGCCTCAAATGTCCATCTCCTCCGGCGCCGACCCGGACGGCGACTCGGCCAGTCCTGCCCCTCTCGCTGTGTTCTCCTTCCTTGGATGCTGTGTCTGCCTCCTTATTCAGCACGGCCTGGGAGAGGAGAGCCCAGGGTGGCTCCAGCATCCTCCTCCCCAAGGTTCTGCCAGTGAAGCGAGAGTCTTCAGCAGCGTGGCCCTGGGTGGCCAGATTTCTCCTTGTCAGGGCACCCTTGGATCAGGGGTTGAAAAGCCAAAGAAGCGGAGATGATCCGGGCTAGTCCCCTCAGGGGCCTGAGGCCTGGTGAGGTGAAGTCTTGTGGCCACGGTCGCCCAGGGAGGGAGGGGCGGAGCCAGGCCTCAGACCCAGGCTGCTGTGTGTGGGATTCTCTGCCGCACTGCTTTCCTCGGGTTTGCCGGCTGGGACAGCTCCGAGCCTCTTCTGGTGACCCTTCGGTAGGAAATGTCAGCGTCGTCACCCATCGCTCGTTCAGTGTCCACACGCTGTTTAAACAGGTCAGGTTGGGGCTGGTAGAGCGCTGGCCCTGGAGTCAAGGGGATCTGAGTTCAAATATGACTCGGGCCATTACTATTTGTGTGACCCTGGGCAAATCACTTCACTTCTGTCTGCCTCAGTTTCCTCATCTAGCAAACAAAGATAGTAACAGCACACCTTCCTCCCAGTCATCATCAGGGTCAGATGAGATGATATTTGTAAAGTGCTTTGCAAACCTAAAAGCAGCTCTATGAATGCACGCTATGCTTAGTGTTACTCATTTGTTCATGACTGTTATCCCTTCTGTTGTATGTCAGTAGCCTGACTGTACCAGGCAGCTGGCTCCGAAATCATGCCCTCATGAGTAACCGTCTTCATTGTCCACCACGTCCCGCCGGCGTTACCCAGTGTTGTTCCTGCCCATGAGAGCGAGGCCGCTGGTGAACGTCGGAGCCAGCCGTGTCTGGGGCGGGGGGAGGCTCTCCTCCCCTTTGCACTGAAGTGAGTCTTTAGGAAGTGTGCTGAATCTCTGGACTATGAGGGAGACGCAGAGAAAAGCCACGTCCCTGGAGAAGGGCTGGGATCGTCCTGAGATTCCGAAAGCAGAGAGAAGAGAATCTGCAAACTCCAGCTCCCCCGGCGTGACTCTATTTCCAGAATGTATTATTAATGTATTATTGTGTTTAGTGAACCCCCGGGAAAGGAGGTCACTCTCCCAGAGCCACATCCATCAGGAGCAGGTCGGAACAGATTAACCTCATGTCCTTTTCGACCTGGAGAATGCTGGAGAGGACAGTTTACCTGCCTCAAGCCCTTCTTAGCCGAGTGACTCTGGGCATGGCGTTTAATCTCTCTCCGCCTCAGTTTCCTTATCTGTCAAATGAAGACCTTAACAGCCCCTCCCTCCTCGGGTTGGTGTGTGGATCAAATGGGGTGAGAAATCTGAAGCACTTTATCCCGTTTGGAGATCACCGAATGCTGCTGTTATTACTGTTTAGATCTTAGCAAGGCAGCTGACAGGTGCTGCACAGCCCCAGGAAGCAGCTCACACTCATCCCTACGCTGTGTGTCCAGCCTCCAGCAGCCCGGGCCCCCCGGCGAGGAGCAGTGCCGCCTGCCCCGCTCTGGGGGCCCTCGGGGAGCCCTTTCTGGCCACGGCAAGTTTGTCGGTTCTTTCCCTTCGGTATGACTGAGGCTGTGTCCTTGTGGATGTGAACAATCTTAGGTGGACAGGTAGGGAGCGTCACTGTGCCCAGAGCACCAGGTCTGCAGTCAGGGAGACCCGAGTTCAAATCCTACCTCAGACACTTTCTAGCTGTGTGACCCTGGACAAGTCACATCCCTGCTGCCCATCTCGGTTTCCTCGTCTGTAAAAACGGAATAATAACAGCATCTACCTCATGGGATCGTTTGGGTCACATGGACAATACCCATAAAGCACTTAGCACAGGGCCTGGCACGTAACTGTTAAGCCATTTCTGCCGTTGCTGTTGTCGAGACATCCGACTTTCCCACATTACCAGCCACTGCAGTATTTCTAACAGTCACGGAAATGTGGTCGCAAAGAGCTAGCAGTTTTCCATGTTTTTTGGAGTAGCACACGTTCTTAAAAACCACAACAAGAGGCACGTGGTGTGAAATCCAGCCTCAGCTGACAGACCTGACAGGAGAGGAAGCCGCCCGGCCCAGCTTCCTCCGGTCAGGGGCCCGTCTGAGGAAGCTCCTCCTCTCCCAAAGAAGCACCATCAACACGGGAGACTTTACACTCATCCTCGTCAAAATTCCTCCCAGTAAATTGGGGGGATGCCCATCAGATGGGGAATGGCTGAGCAAGTTGTGGTCTGTGAATGGAATGCAATGCTATTGTGCTACAAGAAATGATGAGCAGGCAGACTGCGGAAAAACCTGGAAAGACTTGTATGGTCTGATGCTGAGTGAAGAGAGCAGAACCAGGAGAACGTCATACACGGTAACAGCCACGCTGTGTGATGACTGACTTTGATAGACTTAGCTCTTCTCAGCCATGCAAGGATCCAAGACATCTCCAAAGGCCTCGTGATGGAAAATGCCATCCACACCCAGAGAAAGAACCATGGAGTCTGAATGCAGATGGAAGCAGACTATTTGCTATTTTTTTTCTTCTATTTTGTTTTTGTTTTCTCTTTCTGGTGGTTCCTCCTATTGGTTCTAATTCTTCTTTACGACATGACTAATGTGAAAATATGTTTAATTGGAATATATTTGTAGAGCCTATATCAGATTGCGGGCTGTCTTGGGGAGGGAGGGGAAGAAAATTTAAAACTCAAAAGCCTCTGGAAGTGATTGCTGAAAACTAAAAATAAATTAAGTAACTAGATTGACAGGTCTGTGGAATGTTGAACATTCATACATATGTGTATCTGGACACACACACACACACGTGTATTTGTTAACCTAGATTTTAAAAAGAAGGAAAGAGAGGGTAGCTAGGTGGCACAGTGGATAGAGCGCTGGCCCAGGAGTCAGGAGGACCTGAGTTCAAATCTGGCCTCAGACACCTAATACTCACTAGCTGTGTGACTCTGGGCAAGTCACTTAATCCCAACTGCCTCACCAAAAAAAATGGAAAAAGAAATAAGGAAGGAAGAGTCCCACTTTGCTGTGACCGGAGGCACCACAGGATTTTCGGGACAGAGAATCCTGGTCTTCTGAGTCTGTGGCACTCGTGGCATCCCCATATGGAGAGGGCTTTACAGTTCACAAGGCATGATAGTGGCTGGTCCCACTTAACATAGAAGCGCTCTGAGGTTTGCAAAGGGCTTTCTTTGCAGTCACCCAGTAAGGTGAGTGGGATAGTGTAAGTCTCTCAGAGCCCTGGTTTCCATCTTTGTCAGCAGAGGTTGAGCACAGGTGGCTTGCCCAAGGTCTCACGAGCAGTCAGTGGTAGAGCCGGGGTTTCGGGGTTTTGTTAAGCATAGACTGTGTACAAGGCCCCAGGTTTAGCCCTAGTCATTTCGAGATGAAACCAGGCAGTCAGACTCCAAGGGAGGGGAGGGCCAGAGGCTCTGAGCAGACAGTTTTCAAAAGGAGGATTTCAGAGGATCAGCAGCGATGTGCCAGATTGCTCCAGATCTGAAATGAGAGCAGTGTAGCTGTTTAGGTTTCATCTTGCATTCAGCAAATCAGCAAAGATGTCAAAAGACAGAGATAGTCAGTGTTTGAAGGGCCCCAGAAAAGCAGGAAGGAAGAGCTGTGGTTGTCTTTGCATTCTGGGAAACAGGGATTCTGTTTTGAGCCATAGGTCCCAAGCCTCGACCTGTCCCCCAGAGGGGAAGGTCTCATACAGACCGGAGTATTCACTCACAGCAGCATTTTCTGTGGTAACAAAAAGAAAAGGCTTGAACACAACTTTAAAAATGTAAAAATCAAATGGGATGAGAGGCGGTCTACTTGTATCCAAGGATATGAGAGAGCAGTGTGGTCAGGACGCCAGAGCCGGTGAAGCCGAGCTCTCTGAGGAACACCCAGGAGCACTCCCCTGGAGCTTGGGAAAGGAGAGGAGATGAGGGAGGGCCCCTTGCAAGAGCGGGCTATAAGAAAGAGAAGATTGGCTGAATCCCGCAGAGAAGAGGTGACCACGAGGTCAGGTTCTAGGAAAAAGGTGCGTTAGGGACCAGAACCTGCATGCTGGGATACGGTGAGGGCGGTGGGGGGCCACTTTCAGTTATTCTAGAAGTGAGCAGGATATAAGGTAGGAAGTGTATCTTCTGCTGACCCTTCCCAGGTAAAAAGATGAAAAGACACCAAGTCCTGCTCCCATCAAAAGCATGATGGGGGATGGGATACACGGTGACACGTGGTCAGTGTACGAGAGACGTGACGTAGGAGAAAGAAATCGCTTCTGACTTTGGGGAGACTTGCTGGAAGTGGCTGAGTCTGAGCTGGTCCTGGAAGGACGAGTTTGAAATAACGGAGAAAGATCCTTGTAGACATAGGGAAGGTGGTGGCAGGCGGTCCGCTGGAGGGGGCATGGTTTGTCCTAGACCCCGAGACAGGGCTGCAGAGGGCCAGGTCCTCGGGTGCCCGTCAGGGCACCGGTCATTCCTGGGCTATTTCCTTTGTGTCTCTGTACCTCCAACCCTTGAAATCATCCCTTCCTGTCCACCGGGGCCAGTGCTCTCTGCACGTACCCATGATTCCCTGCCCTCCTGTCTTCCCTCACAGTGACCCCCGCCCCATCGCTCCTTACACACTGGCTCCTTCCCCACTCTTTCCAGACATGCCCCTGGAGAGCCCCCCACTAGACCTTTCTGTCCCCATCTTCCTTCCCTTTCACAGCCGCGCTCCGGGGGAAAATCTGTTTTTCTGTGACCTCATCGTTCCAGTGCATCTGCGCTCCCCCAAGTTAGCGGCGGTCTCCAGATTGCCCTCGTCTGAAGCTTTTTCTCATTTCTCCCCAGCTTTGCCTCTGCGGCTCGTGATACTGTTAAGCACCCACTTCTTCTGGCTCTCCCTCCCTCCCTCCCCGGGCTCTTCTAGCACCGCACTCTCTTGGTTCTCCTTAGGCCTCTCTGAAAGCGCCTTCTCGGCCTCCACTGCTGGCTCATTCTCCGTGGTCGCTTCCAAGGGTCCCTGAGCCTGGCCTGAGCCCCTTGATTCTGACTTGGTGAATCACCAGCTCCCGTGGGTTTAATCCCAGTCAACTCCCAGAACCACGGTTCCAGCCGCACGTTGCCATCTGCCTACCAGACACACGTCCTGCAGGCGCGCCTCAGATGCAGCCTGGCTGTGACTAAACACATGCCCTTGGGCCCCCCAGCCCATTCCTCTCCTTACCTCCCCATACTGATTAAAGGTGCTCCCGTCCTTCTAGTTTAAAACCTTCACGTCGGCCATGATCCCTCCCTGCCCCTGACCCTGCAGAGCCAGTGGATTGACTTCCCTGCACTCCCTGACAGCCGCTGGCTCAGACCTTGTCACGGCTCCTTCCAGGACTGTTCTCTAAGCCTCCGATTGAGCTCTGCCTCAACTCTCCCCCCTCCCTGCAGCTGCCCGAGTGATTCTGAAAGCCCGGAGGTGACCAGGCACCTCTCTTCCTCCATATAGTCTAGGGCTCCCTACTGCCTCCAGAATCAAACATAAAGTCCTGGTTGGCCTTTAAAGCCCTTCACAGCTGCCCCCTCCCTTTCCAAACCTGGGATCCACTCGTCCCTATTCAAGCTAGACTGATCCTCTAGCTGTCCAATCTCTCCTCTCTGGGCCTTTGCACAGGCTGTCCTCCACCCCTGGCATGCCCTCCGTCCTCCTCCTGCCTCTCAGTAGCCAGCCTCAACTTCTGCTCAAAGCCTTTTCTGACTCCCCCTGTCTTGGAGCACCCTCCCCCAACCCCACCCCCCAAAAAACCCCAACAAACTACATTATGATTATTTTGTACATCTACACACAATCACACGCACGTCTGTCTGTCTGTCTGTCTGTCACCATTATTTCACTGCTTGGCTATAAACTCCTTAAAGGGAGGGACTCTTTCTTTCACTCTGGTCTTTGTAATCCTGTTCCTGGCACAGTGCCTCGCGCACAGCAGGTGCTTAATCAGTGCATATTCGTTGACAGCCAAACCTGGATGGCCTGGTGGAATGGGAGAGAATGAGCGGCCTGAGGCTATCCCGCTTTTCTCTCTGACAGGGAGAGGTTGTTTGTAAGCACTTTGCCCTCAGGTGCCACCTAAATGCTAGCGATGGAGGAGAAGGTGCGGGGGCTGGCTCAGGGCAGGCCAGGAGGCTGCGGGCGGGATGGTGAGTCCTTTGTCATGTGTGACCGGGGCGGGCGGCTCTCTTCCAGACCAAGGAGAAGTACGAGAAGTCCCTGAAGGAGCTGGACCAGGGGACCCCCCAGTACATGGAGAACATGGAACAGGTGTTCGAGCAGTGCCAGCAGTTTGAGGAGAAACGCCTGCGCTTCTTCCGGGAGGTGATGCTGGAGATTCAGAAGCATCTCGACCTGTCCAACACTGCCAGGTAAAGCCTTCGGGCCGAGGGTCCTCAAGTGAGGTTACCATCATCTCTCCTGGCATGGCTCCGTGCAGAACAAATCTGTGTGTGGTCAGCAAGCACTCATTAAGCACCTGCTGTGTGCTGGGCTCCATGCTGAGCAGGAGCTTCCCTTGTACCAGGGGTACAAGGAAAGGCAAAAACCCTTGTCCCTGCCCTCGAGGAGCTCCCTGGCAAAGGGGGAGGCAGCTCATGCATCAAGGGAAGGTTTCTGTGACGTGGGCAGTGCCCACACCGCCATCATCACTGACACGTCCAGGGCTTGTGCCGTGCCACATCTGCATGTGAATCTTAGAAAAGCGGGCCTGGTCATAAGCTGGTCACAGGATATAGATGAGAGGCTGCAAGACAAGGAAATGGTGCGTGTGTGGGAGCACTGATCTTGGCCCAGGGCCCCCGGGGTGCGGTCCTCTACCCTGGGGGGGGCCATGCCCCATCACAGTGGGCACACACGGGGGTGCCCCCAGGGTGGGGAGGTGGTGTCGGGACCCTGGAGGGGAGGATGTGAGCCTCGGGCCCTTGTTCTCTGGGGCTCCAGGTGGGAGCTGCAGGGAGAGGGGTGTCAGCCTGGCCTGCAAACAGAATTCCTAATCGTTAGCGCCATCTGAAAGCTGAACGAGCCGTCCCAGATGGAGAAATGTCTTCACACTCAGTGCGTGACTGCCTGCCTAGGACCGTGAGGTCCTGGCGGGCAGAATCTGTATTGTCCAAGCCAAGCACACAGTCGTACCGGTAGCGGGTGCCTGGTGGGTGTTAGGTGTTCTGTCACACTGATGTGGAGGAGAACCACGTGTGGGCTCGATGGTGGCCGGGTGCCAGACCCCTGCGATCCCCTCTGACGCCACCATTTTGTCATCCTGGATTGGAGGAAGCCTGTCCACCCGGGGTCTGAGTTAGCTGAAGCTCTGGGCTTTGGAAGCAATAATACCAAAGTGCTGGGTGTGAACCCTGGTTCTGCCTGTCTGGAACCCTGGCACGTGACCCCAGATTCATCTTTAAAATGAGGAAGGGCACCAGATGGTTGCCACATCTCCCTCTAAACCCCGCTGCGATCCTCCATGCCCTGGGGCCTGACCCTGCTGGGGGCCTGCCGTTCCAGCCTTCTCTGAGTCTGCTTCCTCCAGGCAGCCCTCACCCGCTTTGGCTTCCTCCATCCGGAACATGCTCTCGTCAGACAGGACACACACGCTGTGGGACGTAGTCCCTGCTTTCTCCTCCAGGGGTCTCCTCTCTCCCAGTCGGGTGGTGGAGGGGTGGGTTAGCGCCCGGTAGAGTCCTGCTGCTAAGCCGTAGAGAGCCCAGGCAGGAGAGCCGTGTGGCTGGGGTTACAGAAGGAATGTGAGGGACAGTGAGCGGGAAATAAATGCAGATAAATTGTGGGCGCAGCATGTGGCAGCCGGGCGCGGGCGCTCCTGCGGCTCTCAGCCAGGCCCCTGCCTTCTGCCGGAAGCCTTTCCTCCTCTGCCTGGATTCTGGCGCCTTCTCCCTGCTGCTTATGTCCGGCTTACCCTGCCTGTGTCTGACACGGGCACGGTGGCTGGCAGGGAGTATAAGCTCCTCGAGGGCAGGGACCGCCTTCGGCCTTTCTTTGTATCCCCAGAGCTCAGCACGGGACCTGGCACACAGTAGGTGCCTAACAAATGCTTGTTGAGTATTGTAGTGATGGAAACATGAAAGCAGCAGCTCCAGGGATCAAAAGCTGAGGTTAAGGATCGCAGGGATTCTCCGCAGGGAGCCCTGCCCTCACGTCCTGACTATCAGATTCCCCCCGGAGGGCGGGTAGGGAATACTGCCACCTAGCAGCCAGCCCTGGGCTCGGGCGGGCGGTGCCAGGCTGCCCAGCAGTGTGCAACTCGGGACTCGGCCAGATGGGAGGGGGCGCGGGGTGCCTCCTCTGACAGGCCCTGCTTTGTCCTTGGAGTCGGAATAGGATTCTCTCGTTTAGCGGTCCCTAAAGCCTGGCTCTCATCACTTTGTGTCCTCTGAAACATGAGAAAGGCTTTTTCTGGGGTTCTTGCCCTCCTTTTTCTCCTTCAAAGCTCAGTTCGCACATGGGGTCCTCTGTAAGGCTGCTCTGACTCCTTCCTGTCACCCTCGGAGTTAGAAGGTGTCGCTCCTGAGCTTTCTGTGTGACTCGTCATAGAACTGAAAAGCTCCCTGGACAGTCACCCACAGGAGGGAGATTTGGGTCCCCAGCTTGTCCCTTACTGGCTCTGTGACTCTTGGCAAATGACGTCTCTCCTCTGGACCTGTTTCTTCATCTGTAAAATGGGCTTTTTACTATACCACCTCTTCCACGGGTCATCATAAAGTCTCTGAAAGAAGCTGTTAGTATAGCTTCTGTTCCCTTCTCTCCTAATTGCTATGAGAAGGGTTTGTGCACCTGGTTCAGTTCTGCAGATGCACCTGCGGGCAGGGCCCGGGCACAGCAGGAATGCCTGTTATCTGCCCGTGCGCAGCACAAACCGTGCTCCCCAGACGCCTGCGACTTGTTCCCTGGCTCATTTGAGCCGGCGTTTGCCTCGTAGCTGAATGGTAGGGGGCCGCGTGGCGATGTCCGCAGGCTTCGGGAAGGGGCTGCTTCTCGTAGTGACGACCCTGCCTGTTATCTCCCGGTCTAGCTACAAGAACATCTACAGAGAGCTGGAGCAGAGCATCCAGGCAGCAGACGCTGTGGAGGACCTCCGGTGGTTCCGAGCCAACCACGGCCCGGGCATGTCCATGAACTGGCCCCAGTTTGAGGTAGGCGGCCAGCCCCCCCACCCCCGGGCCTTTTCTTTCACCCTTGTTCTGGGAAGGAAGGGGCGGCCAGAGTGGGGCTGTGCACTTCGTTGCAGAGAGACCGTCTTCAGCTAGCCCACGGTTGGCGCAGTGATGTCAGTGAAGACTGACAGGGCGGGGGGCGTGAATCGTCTCTGGAATCATTTGGCCCTAGCAATGGGCAGAAAGAACTGTACATTAAGCTGGGACAGCGGTCCAGGGCCCGGCAGGCTGGGCTGGATGGACAGCGTCCACAGCTGAAGAGACTGTGAACATTTATTCTGGAGGAGCAGAGACCCTGGGGGAGACCCTGGGGACACAGCGATCAGAACAGTAATGTGTGGGTGGGAGGCAGAGGGGCCAGGGCTGGGCTCTGCCTCCTACTGGAGCTGTCCAGCACCGCAGCCAGACACCAGATGCCTGGGGGAGCTAAGGAGAGGGCCAGGTGGGGCTGCAGTAGTGAAGGACTCTTCCTACCCTTAGGCTGTATTGTGACCAACATCGCTCGTGCGGGAAAGGTTGCTTAGTTAGATAGGATGTAGTAACAAAAGTGAGTTGGTGCTCTGCAGGCCTGGGGCACGTGTGCTGACTGCAGTCACAGGCCCTGTGTTCCAAGGCCTCTGCTGATACTGCCCGAGTGACCCTGAGCCTTGGTTTTCCTTCTCTGTAAAATGGAGGCTTGGAGGCCCCTAGATCTGTGCTCTGCTCTGGGATCCTAAATAATAAAAAGTTCTGTGGGCCTTGCCCTGAACTCCATGGTTTCATCGGAGCAAGAATCCAGGTTTGCCAGCATGGCTCCTGGAAGGGGGTGGGGACTTTGAGCTTAAGGGGCCATTTTTCTCCCGTTTTACAATTCCCTTAAAGATCTCGGATGTTTTCTTGGTGAGTGATGATACAGGTTAATCAGCTTTGTCCTCAATCAGCCTGGCTCTTCTTGCTTTCCTTTAATTGTTGAAATTTGACAGAGATCTTGGCAAATAGAATTCTCCTTTTTTTTTAAATTTTTTTTTATTTTTAGGCAACGGGGGTTAAGTGACTTGCCCAGGGTCACACAGCTAGTAGGTGTCAAGTGTTTGGTCTGAGGCCAGATTTGAACTCAGGTCCTCCTGACTTCAGGGCCGGTGCTCTAAGTTCTCTTTCTTCTGAAATGGATACGAGGTGCTCTGTGGGTGGAGAGGTGGCCTCTGCAGGCTATGGACCTGTGGTCCAGCCCCAGAACTCCCTGCTAGCCCCTCCGAAGGGAGCTGGATCATAGCGGCCTGCTCCAGCTTGAACAGCTATGCTTACCGGGCGACTCTGTGGGCCTGCGGTCACTTCTTTGTGGAATGAGGCAATTGGGCCCTTTGAATCTCAGTATGGAGCCTGGGAAATATCTGTCTTCATCTGTCTGTGGAGTTGTTAGTTGTTTTTTTGTTTTTACCAGCAAAGACAGTGAAGTTTCTCAGGAATAACTCCACTTTGGAGACGCCCTGATAACCCTGGCAGACTGTCTGTACTTTGGAGCCCCATAACCTGGCTTGGCTGGAAGCAGCCGTGCTGGATGTAACCATAGCCGGGTGTGTCCTGACTCATGCCCAGGGGACGGGCAGAGAATCCATAAATTCACCTGCCAGAGATTCCTGCTCCTCCCCACCTGCTGCATTTTAGTGATGCTCCAGGGAAATGGGTGAGAGAAACCATTTCTGCCGCCCGGGGCCCTGCTAGGAAGGCTGCTGAGTTAGGAACCCCCATGGGGTGACCTTCCTCTGAACGGGGTCAGCGTCCTCGCCTGCCCGAGCCTGCCACGAGCTCCTGGTGCTCCCCACTGAAACTTGCTGGGCAGAGGAAGACTGGGCAGCCAGGCCCTGCCCGCTCTCTGGGCATTCAGCAGCTTCTTCTCCCCATTAACTTGGGACAAGGAGCCAGGGCCATACACCATGGCCAGCCCTGGGGACTGCTGGAGCCGGGGGGCGCTAGCTAGTGATGTCCTGGGGAGGCTGCCCTGCCCGAGGGAGGAGGGAGGGAGGCCCTGTGAGCCGCCTCCATTCAGGTTTCAGTCTTTTCTAATGAAATGATCTTGCCTTTTATGCTTTCCGTGTCCCAAGGATGAAGTAAGTTCTACTTTATTGTTAGTGTTCATGCGTGCCTTCGGCCTGCACCTCGTTTGAGCGGGAGCAGCTCCTGTTCTTGTTTACCAAATCCCAGCATGCACCTTGGCTCTCAGGTGGCTTCTCTGAGTCAAGGTCAGTGGACAGATGAGTCAGAGCAGACTGCATGTAGCACCCGGCCAGGTTGTACTCGACAGAAAACTGGAGAAAGTAAAATTCGTGCAGAACACCTTTTTCCCCTGAAAAATGGAGTCCTAGCTGCCTCCTTCATGTCTCCTGCAGGGGGGTTATACTACCCCTCGTCCCCCCGCGCACGCGCACGCGCATACACACACACACACACATCACCTGTTTCTAGTGCAGTAAAGAGTAAACAAGGCAGAGAGACACAAGCCTGCCAGAGCTCCAGCATAGGATCCAGATGAAAACCCAGCCATTCCTAGGGCCAGTGGAAAAAGCAAAGAGGGAAAGTGGTCAGAAGCTCGTCATCCTGCCTCCTCAGTGAGCTGCTCAGCTCCCGTTTTGGTCGGCAGCCTGAGGTTGCTTTCACACAGCTTGGTGGGGTGAGCCAGACTGCCATCAGACCAGCTTTCCTACAGGCGCGTGACCCTCATGAACATAGTTTGAAGTCCTTCCTGGAAATGGTGGCTGGCCTTATCTTGAGGTAAAGAGACCCAGCCTGGCCTTTCTCAGGCCTCGGGGCAGCCTCCTAAACCCCACCTTCGGCCTGCGGAGGCCTGGGCCGAGCTCTGAGCTTCCAAAGTCTCTTTTGGTCAGGGACCCCTTTACGGGCTGGGGAAGCTCAGGACGCCTTCCCAAAATCGTGTTGTAAAGAATGGGAGGAGATGCTTGGTTTCAGTTAGAGATTAGTGGAGACAGAGCTGTCCTTTTCTCCTGTCGATGTTGATGAGAGTCTGGGAGGCCCAGGTGAAGAGCCCTATCCGAGGGTCTCTCCAGGCCCCTCCTCTTGCTGACACGGTGGGGGTTCATGCATGTGACTGTCCCCTCGTCTCTGCTGTGTATCCGTGTTGTCTGCGCCTCTGAACACGCATGCTCTCTCCTGCATGGACGCTGTTTCCTTCTGCCTGGCATGCCTGGCTCCTGATCAGGGCCTGGCATGTAGTAGGGGCTTCATAGAGGCTTATTGCTTGGTTGCTGTATATACGAAAGGGTGGGCTGGGCTCGGTGGACGTGCAGTCACTGTCCAAAAGAGGAAGGCCTGTCTGCGTGGCCTTGGGCTTGGCCCCATCCCCTGAACGTACACATGGCGGGGTCTTCTTGGTGTTTAGAATGAAGCCTTTGTTTACTTGTAGAGCGCAAGCAGAAGCAGGGAGTCTAGTCTCCTGCCCTCTTTTGGGGGGCTCCCGCCATCAGCTATATGCTCTGTAAACCTGGAGGCCTCAGGGGGCTGAAGGGAGGGGTCAGAGCTGTCTTCTCATCCTGGGAGAAACCCCTCCCCAGGCTGGGGGTGAACTCATCTGCATGAAGAGTCTGGAAACTGCCAGTGGGGGGACCAGTGGGACTGAACCCAGGACTAGCAGATGCTGAGGCTGGCTGTCCGTCTCATTGCCTCTCTAGAAATTGTTGTTGACAGTGACGGTAACATTAGGCCGAGGAACAGAAAGGAGAGAATGGTTGTTCTGTGATGGAGGGGGGCCCGTCCCTCCCTCTGTGGGATTTCTTGTCCCCCGAGACACGCCCCGCATCTCCTCCTGGGAGGGCCAGTCCACAGGGCCTGAGACTCGCCCTTGAGCCCTTATTTAGCCTCTGAGCGTCCCCAGGACATCACCTGGATGCCCCTCAGAAGATTGCTTATGTATGAAAGGGACGTCAGAGGGTCAGGTAAGGTCACTTGATATCCTGTTGCACCCAGAGAGCCTTGTTTTCCTTCTCTGTGGAATGGGCGCTGCTTGGCTGGCCCGTCCATCCTGGCAGGGAGCTCTTGGTAAGCCCTGAAGTGCTGTAGGGTGACGGCTGTTCTGTGGTGATAAGGGACAGAAGGGAAACTGAGGACAAGGTGGGGGGGGCAGACGTCCAACGTCTCCTTTTTATACGTTTCTCCTTTCCCCCTGCTCTGCTCGTCGTCCAGGAGTGGTCCGCGGATCTGAACCGGACGCTGAGCAGGCGAGAGAAGAAGAAGGCTTCGGACGGCGTGACTCTAACGGGGATCAGCCAGACGGGCGACCAGGCCCTGCCCAGCAAGCATAGCAGGTGAGCAGCAGTGTGGGCGCTGGACCGCCAGACACGAGCAGAGGAGGTGACGGGCAGTGCGGCTGCACAGGGCCTGGCGGTCTCCGTGCTCACTGGGATGCCGAGAGCACGCCAGGGTGGCCTTTGGGGTCCAGGCCCGGGCCAAACACCCGAAGGGCCTTCGCCGTCTGCCCGCCGCCCCTTCCTGGGGCGGGGGGGGGGGGCGGGGCCACTGTTTCCTGTGGCCATTTCTGGGGCCTCATCCACTTGACTGGTCTGTGGGATGATGGGATCTTTCAGGCAGCTTCACTCGCTTCCCCACTGCTGCCTCTGGACGTTCCTCACTTCAGACATGAGTCAGCGACTTGGCCGGGGTAGGAAGTCGGCCTTGCCTGGTGTCCAGCCTTGAGCCTCCTACAGATGGGAGCTGACTGTCCCAAAGCGTCCCGTACCCTGAGAATAGCGGAGCATGTGCTGGGGGCAGTCCGCGCTCTCATGCTCTTGGGAGGACTGTGCCTGCCCCCCAGCCTAGGCCCCACTGGGCCTCAGGGAGCTCTGACAGTGACTCCCACGCAGAGGGCTGAGAAGCCCCTTCCTTCAGCCCCTGCTGGCAGGTGGCACTGTGGATAGCTGCCAGGCACCGGGAGCTTTCTGGGCCCACTGGGGGCAAAGTCCAGCGTCAGTCCACTTCTGCACTTTTCCATTCATACTAGGTACAAGGCACTAGAGATGTGAAAAATTTTAAACATGGGGTCTTCCCTGCCCTTAAGAGGCTCCCAGTGTCAGGGGGGAAGGGGGGATATGACGGGAGCCAGCTGGAAGGAGTGGCCCAGAGGGAAGGGCGTCCCCGCATTGGCCAGGGCAAAGATGATTCCTGCAGACGTAGGTGCCGTGGTGCTGGAGCTTAGGGGCTCTCCCAAGGAATCTGGCTGTGGCCAGCTCCTCAGCTCCACGAAGCGTCTGGTGATAAGCTACTCCCAGCCCGGGGGTGGCACTTGTCTACAGGAGCCAGGCCTTGGGCACTTAGTGACAAGGGCCTGCTTTCCCAGGTTCTCTTCCTGTCAAATATGATTGTAACTGGGTTTGTGTGCCTCAGAGGAAGGGCAGCCCCGTGCCCAGGATATCCAAGAGAGCGTGAGGGCACTGGCGTCTGAGCTGCTCAGGGCCCTGTGGTCACCCAGTGGGAAGGGCTGGGCATTAGTTCGCAAGGGTTTGACCAGAGCTTCTGCTTGGCTCTTCCAGACAGACTCAGCTGGGGAGTGGGTGGTGATTGGGCCCACCTCCTGTCTGAATGGGTCCCCAGGCGGGACGGGCTTTCAGCAAAGGGCTGGATAACACCTCCTGCTGAGGCACAGCCGACCCTCAGATGGGGGGCTCTGCCTGGCCAGCCAAAAGTCTGCCACACTCAGATGCCCCAAATACTGCCGGCTGGGTTAGTCCCTCACCAAAGATAGCCTTTATCACATCCGCAGCTGGAGTAAAAGAAAGCCAGCCCCTCCCGGCCGTGGCCAGGTGTCTTTCTCCTGCGCCCCCGTGCGTCCCCACCTCTGGGATGGGACAGTCACCTTCAGCGATGCCGAGCCCTGCCCCTGCCCCATGAGGCCTGCCCTTCCCCGGGGGACTGTGCTCTGGGCCCTCTCAGAAGCTGCTGCCGCTCCTGTAGCCCAGGCCGGAGGTGGAAGGGGTGCCACCGAGGGCTGCTCTGGCCCGTCAGCCCCGCTCTGGGAGTGCGCAGACAGGCCGGTCTCCTTGTGCAGGACGGAGGTTTCCCTGAGAGCGAAGTCAGGAGCCCCAAGCACGTGGCCAGCCCCTGGCCGCCCTCCCCTCCTCCGCCCAGCCTGGCGCGGCCAGGGACATCTGTGCGCTGCCTCCCACGAGGTGGGGTCATTCTGCTGCTTTTTCTTTCCCACATAGTAACCTTAGTGTCCAGAGTGACACAGTACAGTCAGTGCAGTCACACTCCAGTTACAACCCCTTTGAGGACGAAGACGACACGGAGAGCACTGTCAGTGAGAAGGAGGACAATAAGCCGAAAAAGTTGGTGAAAGAGTTTGCCGTTCTGTCTTCCTCCTCGCTCTGTCGCGCTCTTTCCACTCAGGGCTTCCCAGGGCGGGGCGTGGCGGCACTCCCCTGCATGAAGACCTGAACGCAGACTCACTCTCGCGCACCTAACGTCTCTCTCTTCCTCTGTTCTCGGTCGGCCCCCGGGGGCCCGCGCTGGCTAACACCGTCGGGGTGCTTCCTCCTCGTCCTCCTTTTAACCACGTTTTAGACGCTAGGCTGTCCCGTGCCCAGAGAGGGTGACCACTCTGCTGGGCATTATCTGCTGCAGCTTGGCTTTCCCAGTGGTCTCTGCTCAGAGAGGGACTGAAGGTGCTGTCAGGCCCTCGCTCTGTCCCTGGGCTCCCATCGTGAATGTGGCTTGGGTGTCCTGCTGTCCCTCCCCTCCAGGCTACCACGAGGGCCATAGAGGGCACGCCCCACCCCGCGTCCAAGCTCTGGGGCTGCCCTGGCAGCGGGCGGGGGCTCTGGTCACTCACCGCAGGTCTGCCGGCCCTGGAACGAGGAGAAGTAATCGCACGTCTCTTTTCAGTGTCAGCAGCTATGAGAAAACCCAGAGTTACCAGACCGAGTGGTCTGACGAGGAAGCCAATAATCCATTCTCCTCCACGGATGCAAATGGGGACTCCAACCCATTTGATGAAGACGCCACCTGTGCGACCGAGGTGCGGGTGCGAGCCCTCTATGACTACGAGGGCCAGGAACACGATGAGCTGAGTTTCAAAGCCGGTACGTTGACTTCCATCTCCATGGTCAAGGACGTACCAGCCGGGTGGCGTGACCGGGGCAGAGCTGATGCGGTGCAGAAGCTGCTTTTTAAACGGCCTCAGAGATCATATTGCTAATTTGGAAAATCTTTCTCTTCCCTAACTCTGACATCCTTCGGCCGTCTCTTGGAATATGACTCTTGGTCTTGTAGATTTGTGTCATTGTGCTGCATACATACCGGATGTCAGGTTTTATCAGCTTTTTGAGGCAAAGAGTTTTTTTTCCAACTTAATTTGCCTCCCTTTCCTGAATCTGGTGGCTCAGTGGTTACAGCGCTAAGCCTGGAGTCAGGAAAACACCTGAATTCAAATCCAGCCTTCAACCCGAGCTGTGTGACCCTAGGCAAGTCACTTAACCTGTGTTTGCCTCAGTTTTCTCAGCTGTAAAAGGGGCTCATAACGGCATCAGACCCCCCCATAGCTATGGAGATTAAAGGAGATAGTGACTGTAAAGTGCTAGCCCAGCGCGTGGCACACAGTAGGTGCTCTAGAAATGTGTGTCCCCCTCCCCCTCACTTGCTGCGTTAGGTTCATTCCTGCACTTTCATTGGAGGTCTCTCACTTCTCTCGTTCGGTTCAGGATCCTCCGCTGAGCCTTCCCTGTCACTGATGTGACTGTTTCTGTGTAGGCCACGTGTCCGTGGGGAACTGACGGGGACCCTTGGACTCAGTGACGGCCTCCTGGAGAGAGCCCCAGGCCCACTCCTCGTCGCCTCCAGCTCTCCTCAGCTGCTCGCCTCAGCTGCTCACCCCCAGTCTTTCTTTGCCTTGTTTCTCCCAGGGGACGAGCTGACCAAAATCGAGGATGAAGATGAGCAAGGCTGGTGCAAAGGACGTTTGGACGGCGGCCAGGTCGGCTTGTACCCAGCGAATTACGTCGAAGCGATTCAGTGACCCGGCAGGAAGCCATCCCCGACGTGCTGCCCCCACAGACGTGTGTGTGCGTGTGCGTGTGTATGTGTGCGTGCGCGCGCGTCTGCATCCGTGCCGGCGGACACACACGTGGTGTGGAGAACGTCCATATTTCTTTTCTTGCACAGGATGATGGTTCTGTTGCTTTGGGCTTCAGGGGCGTGTGCCCTTGGAGACAGACGAGTTGGTCACGTCACTGGGGGTTTGTGAGACCCTCTTCCTGATGCAGATCTGGAGGTCTGAGTGTGAAAGGCAGTACAACCAAGAAATACCCAGAGTCCTTTTCTCCCTGGCTAGCTTTCTTATCATGGATTCCAATAATCCTTCCCACATCTTTCTCTCTTTTCTTTCTCCAATTGAATGGTGGGTTCAGCTGATTATTTTTTTGTTTAATTGATTATTTTCCTATGTCATCTGCATCTCAAATTAAAAACTTACAGTTCATTTTCTTAGTGATACTTTTGAGATGTGTTTTATTTCAAGGCCCTGTACAGTTAGACTTTTTTATACACCTTTTTGTCCTCCTGTTCACTTCTACTTAAATTATGGCACCAGTCCCCGAACGCTGATCTCAAGTCGAGGAGGGCCCCGTGTCTGTGCGTGTCGTGCTGCTGCAGAGCGGCTGCAGGTGTAGGCGACATCTGTCGCAGTGGATCATGGGAAGATCAGAAAATATTATGTTTGCCTCTATCGTGAACGCGCTTGATGCATTTTTGGCATTTAGGTGTGAGTTTCCAAAATAGTCTTAAGTAGCACTCAAAAATTCAGAGTATTTCAGAGCTGTTTCCTCTATCGGATTGCTTCAGACTCCACTCTTTGCAAGTTGATCAACAATTTTGTCAGTGATTTGGAAGGTTAAAAGGATGAACACTAACTTTTCCAGAAAATGCAACTGTAAAATCAATTGAGAAACTTTTTATTAGCCTCTGTGTCATGTCTCCGTGTATATGTGTGTATATAATTTGATATTCAGAAAATCTAAAGAGCATGTCTACTGTTTTAAAATTAGCTGGAAGACTTTTGACTGTGGAGCTGATTTTGAGACTGCTTGACGACTGTTAAATTAAGGCATATTTAAATCTGCTCGGTGGTCCCTACGAGTTCCACCCTACTGTAGTGGACGTGGCCGCTGATCACGACCCCCAAAAGAGGGATCAGTGGAGTCCAGGAATCGGTCGGGGCTTCCGCTGCAGACTAGCAGCAGTCCCTCCGTGGGTTCTCATAGCGGAACACTGTAAAAACTTGCTCCGTCTTGTTAGCGGTTACAGAGTACACGTGTCTCTAACGTTGTACCCAAACTGTCCGTTTGCGATCAGTGGAAAACTAGGTCTTCCCCACAGCCAAGGAGTCAGTCATTGCCAGGTAAGTGGCCATGCTCCTGTGCAGGAAGCGGCGCTGGCATTACTTTTGGGGGGGAGGGAGAAAGTCTTTATTTTGTGTAACTAAAATACTGTAGGCATTGCTTAGCTATGCTCTTTGCTTTAGGAAATCATAGGTTATATATTCATGGAACATTTCCCACGAGTCTCAGTAGTTTGCTTGGAGTGGATGTATCTGTCATGAAAACTTACCATCATAATTCTTCATCCACAAGCTAAAGATTTGCCAAAATATTGTCAAAACCTCAGTTTTGGAGTCTCTTTGAAATGCGTATTTTAGAAAACCAATAAACTATTAATCTCATGAGTGTGAGAATCCCCTTTTTCTCGCGCCTTGGGTTTGCTCTTACCTGGTTGGTTTACATATTCACCTCACTGGGGAGAAATGGCGGGGAATACTCCCCACTACAGACAGGCCTCCCACTAGTAGAGGCGGGGCTCATGAGGGTGTCTGGGATGGGGCTGGGTGAAGAGCCACGTGTTCCAGAGGGAGGTGGTGGGCCTGCTGTCCCCTGCCCGGGCCGGTTCCATCTAGAATAGGGCCAGGGCTTCAGCAGTGTTAGGGGAGCCGGTTCTCAGTGCGGGCCAGCGGATGGACGGAGCACGAGAACGAGGAGAAGGGAGAGCTGAGAAGTGCGTCCCCTGTGGAAGCAGCCTCCCAGAGGGTGCAGCAGAAAGGCCGGCAAGACTGGCGGCAGGAGTGGGTCAAGTGGAGTGGGACAGGCGAAGAGAACTGCAGGGGAGACTCGGAGGCAGTCTGCTCTGGCCTAGCCAGCGATCAGTGGGATGACTCGGGGGGATATGAGTGTGTTCGTCGTCATGGTGGTAGTGGTGGGCAACAGACAAATTGGAATGCTTATCATTTCCGAGAGCTGTGGTTGCCAGGCAAGGGCCCCAGGGGGCGGGGGGATGCCCTGAGTCACTTCCACTCTGGGGTAGGCGGTGGGGCAGCCAGGCCCCCTCCGCCTCCCTCACCCCACATAGCCAGCCTTGTCATGCTTCCTCCAGAAACACTTTTTTGTGTGGCCAGGAGGTGCCATCCTCTGGCCTCCTCCACACAGCTGCAAAGTGCACGTCTGACCGTGTCACTGCCCTCCTCAGGCTGCTCCAGCGGGGGGGCTTGCCGCCTCTGGGACACAACGTCAATTCGCCCTTTTAGCTTTTCCAGTCCCTTCACACTAGCCTCATCATACGTGAAATCGTACATCCTTACAGTCTGGACCAATTGACCTCTGTGCCTCACCTGTGGAGTTCCATCTGTTGTCTCTGGTCCTTTTCACTGCCAACCCTGGCCCCCCAGCCTGGAATGTACTCCCTCTGCCTCTACCCTGGCCTCTGGATGCAAAAGTAAGAAAAATGGGTTGAAATTTCCATGGATTGGATTTCAGCTTGATGTTAGGAAAGGTTCTAAATAAGAGCTATTCGAAAGCAGAATGGGCAGTTTTGAGGAGCCCACTCCTGGGTCACTGGAGGCCTCTGGGCAAAGGCGGGATGACCACTTGGGGATTTTGTTAGAAGGGATTCCTGTCTAGACAGCCAGAATTTGGCCAGTGAGCCCCACCCCACCGCCAGGTCCTTTCTGCCCCAGGCGCCTTCCAGTCCACTTCAACAGGGCCCGACCACGCCTATTGCTTGAGCCCACATAGGAGCCAGAAGCTCCCCTGATATCTCCAAGGTTCTCTTACTGGAGCAGCCTTTGAGGGCTCAAGAGGGAAGACCATATTGAAGGAGTCTTCATTCCCTAGAACTCCAGCCATCCCCTACAATCTGAGACTTGCAGGGGTGGTTCCCAGCAATTGGGACAAATCGGGAGGAAAGGTAAGACGCTAGACCAGCCCGCCTTAGCTTGGAATAGCAAAGAGCCTGGCCTGCATGAAGAGCTTAGCTTCCAGGATGGTGGGTGGAGTTGCATCTCCGCCCGCCCACTGGCAGGAATGAGTGAACACCCAGCTCTCAAGTGCCAGCTCCTGCTAGCCCATTTAAAGGCACCAGAGAATTTCAAGGGAGAAACATAACCCTGACCACCTGTGGGAGGAAAATCGTTCCACAGAGTGACCCGCCCCCCAAATCTCCATTGCTATATGTCCTGCATTTAAGGGGCAACTTAGCATCCTGTAATGCGTAAGGTGAAGGGTGGACAGAAATGATCCGGACGGCCCGTCTAGCTTGGACCTTGTGTGTCCAAAGGGCCTTTCCAACCATGACGTTCTGTTTTAGCAGACTGACGACGATGATGATGATGATGAAGGTTGACGGGCTGGATGAAGAAGGACACTTGCAATTTTGGACAGTGCAGGAACTTGCTTTGCTTGACGGTGCATGTTTGTTCAACACTTTTGTTTTTCTTTTTTCCCCGGGAGGTGGGAGGAAGAAAAGCAATGCATGTTGATTGAAAAAATAAAATTAACCAAAGATTCTGGGCCTCTGGCCGTAGAGCTGGAAGGGCCTTTCAGGCCGTCAAACTCCCTTGTTTCCAGGCGAGGAAACAGGCCCAGAGCTCATGGGACTTGGCCAAAGTCATCCAGGTCCTTGGACTCCAAATCCAGCGGTGTTTTCGTTAAGTTACACCATATGCCCCAGGACCCTGGGCCTCAGCCTCAGCCACAAGAGCCTTGGAACAATCTCTCCAGAAGTGATTGTCCGATTCCGCCGATGCATTTCTACCTTGTTAAACCACGACATACGAGGCCCTGCCAAGCCTTCTCACCCTCTCCAGGATCCCACTGGAGCGATTTGCTGTGGGCTCGTTCGTTTCAGAGCTAATGTCACGGAAGGGAAGACTGGCCTTCCTGCTGAACTCGGCTGAGCAGCCTCTGTCTGGGCTCTGACCCTCCCTTCCCAGAGCAGTGGAGGGTCCGGACACATGCGGAGTGGCAGAGCGAAGCCAGAGCCCACCGGCTTGGAAAGCCCAGCCACCTTTAGCTAGATCATGGCCTCCAGTGCGCGTCTTCATCCAGCTGCAGCTTCCCCTCCATTCACAGCGCCCCACGCCTCCGCCAGGACCTTGCGAGTGAGCCAAAGGAGGGTGGCCAGGAGGCCACGGACTCCGGACCCAGAGCCTGCCTCTGACGCCTGACAGCCCGAGCCTCGCTCCCTCAGCTGCAGAATGAGCCGTGGGGGTCTCGCCCAGCGTGGAGAGAGACACAGCCTTCCATCACCTCCACCGTCCACTCCCTAATCTTCTGAGAGGCAAGCTGGCTTCTGCAGCTGGAGGACCCGGGTTAAAAAACTGGCTTTAGTATTTCACTCTCAGCTGGGCATGTTAGTTGAGTTCTCTGTGCTTCAGTTTCCTCATCTGTAAAAAACTCATTTTAATCAAGAGTTCTTAACCTGGGGTACATGAACTTGTGTGCGAGTGTGTGTGTGTGTGTGTGTGTGGATTTTGATAGGTGTATTTAACATAATTGCCCTTTATGAATTACAAAACACGGTTCTAAGGACTTTCCCAGAACAGACTTAGGGAGACTGTGAACTCGGAGGGGGAGAAATGCCATCTTTGTTTTCACCAGCCTTTGGGATCCTCTGTCTTGGCTTCTCTGCATTTCCAAACGTGATTCTGAGGAGGGCCCAGCTGAGCCGAGGTGCCCCCCAGCGTGGAGTGCCCCCTCCAGAACGGATCGGATTCGGGCAGGGAACTATTGCCAGTATTCTGGGGCACGGAGCCGCGTCAGGAAAGGAAGGACTCCGACCCGGGGTCCAGTGTGGCTCTTCTACTGAGCAGCCAGGTGACGTTGAGCCAGTGACACGCCCTTTCTGGGCCTAGGATCCCTCTCCTGAAAAACGGCAGAGCCGGACTGCCCAGTTCTGACGTGTGGCACCGTGGCTCTGAATAGCAAACTTTCTGCCAGCAGTCCCTGGACAGCCTGCCCAGGTGCCCAGGAGAGAGAGGCTCCATGGAGCCCCCTGGCGGCTGATTGAGTGTGGTGTTGAGGCTAGACCAACTCAGCCTGAAATTAAGTGCCTATCAGAGGTCTACAGAGACAAAAAATGGGGCCTGCCCTCCAGGAAGTTACTCTCTAGCAGGGAGGCACCCCACATCTGGGAGCGGTGGCCAGGAAGAGACTTTGATGCAGGGAGCGCCAGGGATGGAGCCAGAACGGAGGCTAATGGCGGGGTCAGGGAGACGGACAGATGCCCGTGGCTGGCCTGGAGGTTTGGGGCCAGCTAGATATGGAGAGAGGGCTGGGGTGAGGATCGACTCAATCACCCTGTAACCTAAGGCAGGTCAACCCACAGCTGAGAAACAGAAACAGAAAGACCGTGCTAGAATGTGGGATGGCAGGGACCTCAGGACACTGAATGTCAGACCTGGGAAGTAAAGGGGGGATCTATACCCCATGTGACAGATGAGGAGACAGTCCCAGAGAGGGGAAGGATGTGACCCAAAGTCACACAGCACACAGGCAGCATGGCTGTGATTGGAATTGAGGTGCTCTGAGCCCAGTGTGATATATCCAGCTGAGCAGGGAGTCTTCTGGATGGATGGTGGGCCTCTCAGTCTAGGCTGCAGACTGGCCCAAAGCCAGACGCTTTGGGGCCTGGGCAGGGCGATCCCAGACCCATGGGCCCATCCCTCTCCCATGCCCAACCTCATCTCCCCACTGAGCCTCTGTCTCCAGAAGGTCCTTGTGAAAGGGCCACACCTGGGAGAGCTGTGAGGGCACAGCACATGCAGGGATCCTTAGTGTGGGTGGAACTGTGGACACTCGCTAGGACACAGAGTCCTGGGACCTAGATCCAGCGCTGGGAGGGACCAGTGGGGCCGTGGAATCCAGCCCCCTCATTTGACAGGAGAGATACCGAGCCACAGGCAGATGTGACATTGGACATTGCCCAGGGTCACACAGCCCATTATTGAGGTGGCAGGGATTGGACCCAGGTCATCGGCTGTCCCCACACTGATCCCCAGACTGGGTCGGAGTGGCCTGTGACCCCTGGCTGAGGAGCCTGCCAGGGCGGCAGGCACCTTCACGAGATGGGCACACCCAGCATCTTTCTCCCAGCACAACTGCAATAGAATCTTCAGTAGAGCCTCCCAGTGCAGGAACTCGGGATGCAGGAAAGCCCAGAACGTAAACAGGCAGTGAGAGGCCCAGGCTAAGAGGGGAGGACGCACATATGCTCCACCATCTGCTGCCCGGCAGCGCCAGTGTCTGAGGAGGCAACAGGCAAGGGCACACCCCGGGAGGCGTCCGGGCAAAGGAGACAAGAGTGGAGATGCATGTGCCCAAAAAGAATGGGGATGCATGCATGCATGTGCCCAAAAAGAATGGGGATGCATGCATGCGTGTGCCCCAAAAGAAT